AAGCTTATTTTCTCAGCTGTATTTATATGTAAGTGTAAACAATATCAGACTTTGCATTAAAAAGATATAACGCATAATATGGGCACAAAATAAATCACGTTTGTATACGTTTTTTACCTTTCGTTGTCACCAGAAAGTTCGGTGGACATCAGAGATGGAGGAACAACTAGTTGACCTCTGGCAACACCGTGAATGTATGTATGTCGTATCGTGTAAAGAATATCATCACCGAAATGACAAGGAGAGGAATTGGGCAGAAATTGCTGCTGCACAGGTAGTGTTGGCATAGCCCTATTCGGACAGGATTAGTACTAAATTATCAGACTGATGGGTTGTGTTTGTACGTTTACTTTGCACTCTGTCCTAATACAGTACAGACGTGTTGATGCAGCCGTTACTGCAGCCGTGCTTGTTGGTTTGTGCGTATGTAAAGTGAACTGTTAGTAAAACAGTTTGCCAAATTGGTTCCGAACGGCACTACTTGATAAAAAAGAGAAACTGCATAAAAACTATACAACTTAGAAGTGTGTGGGGTCTCACACGGAGAAAAAATTGTCAGACAATTTTAAAATCGTCTCGTGTGAACCAGGCTTTAGTCTTTTTCTCTCCGTAAGTCTTCATTGAAAAAGAATATCCACTTGTATTTCCCAAAGTATAATCCATTCTTCAGAAAGAATCAAAATGTGCATTTTTCTGTTGCAAAAAAAAATGCTCCGAAAGATGTTCAAGCTTCTCTTTCACATTTCACCAAGTTTGAGCTTTGTTTAGCCCCACAAACATCATATCCACGTGTTCCTTGAGTCCTTAGCTTCAAAAAGAAAGGTTCCATGAAAAGATAGCAGCAGGTTTGAGTCCGCAGGACCCTTGTGAAAAAGATGAACCGCATCCATTTGCACAGGGTCCGTTTGGCCTTGTTGTTGATTACAGGCTAGCGCAATGAGCTAGCACTGAATGATTGACGTGTCTAAATAGCCAATAAAAAGAGCTTTCTTTTGATGGGTGGGACTTGTACGAACCTTTTTCATTTTCACAGTAAAAGTGTGCGTAAAGACGCTTTAACATTGCTGCACATATTTTATATGCATTTACACTACTAAAAAAATTATTTTTGAAAAAATGTAAAAGAAAATCACACAAATTTGTAACTTATAAGTACCAAAACTAAAAAATATGCTTTTTATGATGGTGAAATGTTAGTAAAACAGTTCGGGATTGGTTCCGAATGGCACTACTTGATAAAAAAAGAGAAACTGCATAAAAACTATAAAACTTAGAAGTCTGAAACTTTACACAGTTGTTGTCAACAACACAATGAAAATGTTCTTCTTCCAAGGAAGTAGGCCTTTTTTTAGAGCATTTCCCCCCCCCCCCCCCCCCCCCCAAACTTCAAAGGATGCAGAGTGAAATAGGAATGACATTTGGGTATGCCCAACTTTTGTGCAAGAGCCAAAACAGATGTAGGAGTTTAAGAGGTTAAATAAACATATTGGAACCTATCTGTTAAATAATTTTTCAACCAGGTATGTACTTTTCCCCAAAAACTGTATTTTTCAATCTTTTGTAATAAAACCGTATGATCGATGGTGTCAAATGCTTTCTGTAAATCTAAAAATAATCCTATTGTATATAATTTATCATCGAATGATTGTGATATGTTTTCTATCATTTTTACAGCTGCCATTGTTGTAGACCTGTGTCTAAAACCACACTGAAAATCATTCAATATATTCAACATAATTATCTAACCTTTTAACAAAAAGTTTTTCTAATATTTTTGAAAATTGTGATAACAACGAAATGGGACGATAATTACTGAACAAATGCTTATCGCCACCTTTATGCAAAGGGAGTACTTTCACTATTTTCATCTGATTTGGAAAAATGCCTGTTGTTAAAGGATTGATTATATATGTAAGTAAATGGATGAACAATATTTTCCATAACATGTTTTACTATAAACATATCAAACCCATTACTATCAATTGATATTTAATTTTTACAATCTTTCACCATTTTTAATATTTCCTCTTTATTAGTTGGGCTTAAAAAGAATTAATTCAGTCCTTCAAATGTGACACCCATTTTCACTTCATTATTTTGAGTTGGTTTAATTTGGTTTGCTAAATTTTGGCCTATATTTACAAAATACTTCATAATTTCCTTAATATGTGTTATTTTATGATCGTCTTTATTAAAATAACAGACACATTCTTCGTTTCTAGTTCTTTTATGTAATAAATCATTCAGCACCTTCCATGTACCCTGTGTGTTTTGTCTATGTTTTATGATCAATTTCGTGTAATATTCTGTTTTACTATTTCTGATAATATTTATCAATGCATTCTTATACTTTTTGTATTTTATTTCTGCGTCTTTTATTCTGGTTTTTAGAAATTTCCTATATAGAATATTTTTTCTTCTTACAGGATTTTATAATTCCATTAGTGAACCATGGTTTCTGGACAGTACCTTTTATAAGTTATTGTTTCGAGTGAGAAATGTATTGTCGATATCTCGTAGTCGATCCAAGAAAATATTATAGTCTTCATCGGGATTTTCAAAGCTATGAATCTCATCCCAGTTTCAATTATTCAATTCATCTTTGAGTGTTTCAATTGCTTCCGCTATTTTGCGTCTCACTGTTCTTGAATAGTTTGTTGGACTGGATGGTCTTTTAAAAACATTGTGAAAACAAGCAAAAACAGGCAGATGGTCACTAATGTCTGTCATTAAAAGAGCCCTGTCAATGTGACCAATTTCATTAGTGAATATGTTATCAATGTTGTTGATACAGTTGTTATTCTAGTTGGCTTATCAATCACTGGATATAATGAATTGTTATAAAATGTATTTAGGAAATCTTTGGTTTTCTTATGTCCACCTGGATTAAGCAGATCAACATTAAAGTCACCACAGATGATTTACCTCGTTTCCATTTACACTAAATTTCCAACAAATTCATTAAACATATCCAGAGAAGAACCAGGTGTTCTATATATTCAACACAGTGTTATATTTTTCTGTTTCTCCATATGAATTTCAACAGTAACACATTCCAAAATGTTTTCATCTGTAGTTGACATAATTGTTATTATTTTACCTTGCAAATTTGAACCAACATAAATAGCGACTCCACCCCCTCTCCTGTCCTTTCTATTCATTGCAAACAATTCATAATCCACCAGTTCCACATCTGATAATTTATCTTCGTCCAACCATGTTTCTGACACAGCAACTACACTGAATTTTGGCAATACGTTTAAATAATGTTTTATTTGTGAGAAGTTTCTCAATAGACCTCTACTAATTAAATGTAATACAGAAAAAGCCTGCTGCATTTTCACTCTACTCGTAAACTGTTCTTCAGTATAATATTGACAATTTTGCTGACAAAAAAGCATCCGGAACAGATGCCCGAGCCACCTCAACTGGTTCCTCTCGACGTGAAGAAGCAGCGGCTCTACTCCGAGCTCCTCCCATGTGACCGAGCTCCTCACCCTATCTCTAAGGGAGCGCCCAGCCACTCTGCGGAGGAAGCTCATTTCGACCGCTTGTATCCGCGATCTCGTTCTTTCGGTCATTACCCAAAGCTCATGACCATAGGTGAGGGAGGGAACGAAGATTGACCGGTAAATCGAGAGCTTTACCTTTCGGCTCAGCTCCCTCTTTACCACAACGGTCCGATACAGCGACCGCATCACTGCGCACGCCACACCGATCCGCCTGTCAATCTCACGCTCCATTCTTCCCTCACTCGTGAACAAGACCCCGAGATACTTGAACTCCTCCACTTGAGGAAGGACCTCCCCACCCACCTGAAGAGGGCAAGGCACCTTTTTCCGGTCGAGCACCATGACCTCAGATTTGGAGGTGCTGATTCTCATCCCAGCCGCTTCACACTCGGCTGCAAACCGCTCCAGTGCATGTTGCAGGTCCAACAGGACAACATCATCCGCAAACAGCAGAGATGAAATCCTGTGGTCCCCGAACCGGACCCCCTCCGGTTTCAATATCATATTTACTATAATCTATATTTGATTCATTTAAGCTGTTGTAGAAGCCATTTGTATCAGCATCAACAACTGTCTCCTCTCTTAAATATCCTGTTGTATCAGTCATTTTATTTTGCGTAAACAAATAATATATATAATTGATCTACAGTAACTGAAAGAGATTCTCCACATATACAGTAGGTCCCATTCCGTTTTGTCGCCTTTCACGCGTGAATCACACGTGAGTCTCGTGTGATTCACGCGTCTTTTATTTTCCCCCCTCCCAGTGATGCTGCAATGACCAAAACAACCACCAGGTGGCACTTGTGAGCAGGGTTACATTGGCGAGTTTCTGCCCCGCACACAATGACAATCTGTCATTGATCCATGCTCCCAGCAGACTCGAACGAACACGAAGTGGAACGTGAAGTTTAATGTAAGTAACTTTTCAATTGTTTTTCATGTGACAGTATATTCATTATTGTCTTTGGGTTGTGTTGCATTGTACACATGTCGTCATTGCGTCACATCAGCGTCGGCTAACATTATATTTTTAGATGCTAGGTATTTTTTCTCCTGCGTCAAAATGGAACTGAGAGATATTCAACTTTTCGTCACATGAAACAAGGCATAGCCTATGCTATGTTATCTAACGCTGGTTTAAAACTCAATTGAATATTAGTTTAGCGTTAATCGGACTAATTTCCATCCGCGGGAAATAAGGCACATGGTGTTTGCTAGCTTAGTTAAACAAGTTAACCATTTGAAAATAACTAAATAATTTATTTTCTCATTTTCCTTGGAAGTAACACAAGGCTACGCAATGTAAGCAAATAAGTATAATACAGCTCGGAAACTTGTGTTGAAACAATCGCGTCAAATACTACAGTTCCCATCATGCTTTTGCTTTGTCACGTGTCCTCCTCAAACAACAACAAGCACAGGCATGCCTTTATTTAGCAAAGAGTTTGGTCTCGTTTCTCAAACGTAAATCTGGGCTGTGTACAGAGGACTGCGTGCTTCGGTATGTACAAACGACGCTGCGCGTGATTTGATTCATAGCGTAGTTAATGTTGTAGCGTAGCTTCTTCTGAGGCCAGTTTTCATTACTTTCATGACTGTCTTTCTTATATCGCTATGCACTCCACTAAACATGGCTGATACTTAGTTATTATTGCTTAACAAGTAGATACGTCTTTCCGTTTTTTTTCGTTTGGAGACTGAAAATATATCCCAAAGCATTTATGTTCCCCCCGTGCAACTAAAATTGTATGAATTATTTGTGAATTTAGACAATTAAATAATAATTATGTGAACATTGTGAAATTAATCACAAGTAATGTAATGTTACAGACTTGTTTTCTCTTCTACCCGAAGCTGAAAACACACGTGAGTATGGCTCTCCGTTTTCAAATGGCATATATTTCGATTGTTTTAACGTTTCTATCAGCGAAATTCATCCTGTGATTTGATAGGGGCTTAGATACATCGATATGTAGTGAAACAAACGCTGTGTAAACGACTTTTTAGTAAAAGTCGTTTACAGCTGGCGTGTGAGATGGACCAACATGCTATGTAACGCTACCAACAGTGATTCATTTTAAATATATAGTACTTTTTCAGTGAAGTGCATGCATAGGGATATTATTAAGTTTGACCCATAAGTTTGACCGCGTTTTCCTTGAAGCAACCGAGCGCGTTGATTTGGACTTAATGGTGCAAGCACTTAATGGTGCAAGCACTTAATGGTGCAAGCACTGACCTCACGGACGCTACTAAATTCTATACAATATGAAATTACTTATTCAACTTTGTACCAACTCCTGGGTTCGAAATTAGATTTTGGGGAAAATGTTACGTACACGCGTAATGCATGAATGAATACGTGGTCATAATCCCTCCAGAAATGTATTAAGTTTCTCATATTTGCTCGTGGGAAAGATAGTAACATTATGTACTAGTAGAAAAGAGAAATTACTTTTCATTTATGTGTGTGGGTTCTCATGCATGTAGCCTCATTATTAATAATTTTACATATGGTCTTATCTCTTGATTTCTAATGGTGAAAGTAATTTAATACCAATACAAAGTCAGAGATTTCCATAATTTAAATATGATAATTTTGTGTGGGTTTTTTTCAAACAGTATTTGACGTTATTACTTGGTAGTCATTTAACAACGTCTTCCCTTTTTCTCCCCAGACCCATCCTTGAGCCTTTATCTTTCGATATCTAATGGTGAAAGGAATTCAATACTTATACAAATTCAGAGATTTCCATCATTTTTCAAGTAAGATATTTTAGTGTGGGTTTTGATCTGTTTTTGATGTTATTATTTGGTAGTCATGTAACAACGTTTTCTCTTTCTCTCCCCAGACCCATCCTTGCACTTTTTGTTCACTTCCTCATTTACATCTACTTTTGATTAATAATCAAAATGGAGCATAAATGGGATGAAATGTTTCTCCTCCTCACAGAGAACATTTATCCTGAGGGAATGAATAAATTTCAAAGAGACAACTGGAGGAAGTACTCCCTTAAGTTTACAGTAAAGGGTAATAATGCATTTGCTAGTATGGTTATACATGTCTTATTCTTCTTCTGTTGTTTTCATATAAATTATTTTTTATAGATGGTGAGCTGTTCTATGGCAAAAGAAGAGCCATTAAAACCAGACATGAGGCGCAGAAACTATTTCAAGAGTTTCATGCTACGCCCATGGGAGGCCACACTGGGATGAAAAAAACCCGACATGCCATTTGTTCCAGGTTTTACTGGCGTGGCATGACTGTGATGATTGACAATTGGGTATGTGATATTATTTGTCTGTACAATTCCCTTCCCTAAAGCCTGTTCGTTTTAAGATTGCTGAGTGTGACCAATGTCAACGTGAGGGAAAGACTCTGGGTACAGTTGCACCACTCCAAACAATAAAGGTAATTGTATTGTTACTATTCAACCACCAATGTACATTTATGCATTACAATCCTGTTGGCATGTTAGGTGTCTGCTGTTTGGGAGCTGCTGGGGATTGACCTAACTGGGCCCTTCCCCAAAACTACTGATGGCTATCAGTACATATTTACAGCCACTGATTATTTTTCAAAGTGGGTAGAGGCTTTCCCATTGAAAACCAAGACGGCTGCGGAGGTTGGGCAAAGACTTTGCTCTATAATATACAGGCATGGGTGCCCGAAACGGATCCTGTCTGATCAAGGGCGGGATTTTGTAAATGAGGTGAATATTGCTTTTTGTAGTTGTTACTTTTTTTTGTTCATACTTTCTTATTCATTTAATTTTCATTGTTTTAGCTCAATGATTCTCTGTGCTCTCTGCTGGGCATTGAGAGAAGCGTCACCGCTGCGTACCACCCACAGACTAATGGGTTGGACGAAAAGACCAACCACAACATCAAGAGGCAAGAAAGATATGTATAATTTAATCATGTGAAGCACACATTAAATATATGACTGATGGCAAACCCTACATGTTTTAATTTCCCCCATTTAAACAATGTTCGGAATGTCTTTCTCAGAGCTTTGATGAAGTTGGTGAATGAGCAGCAGAACAACTGGGACACATTCCTTGATGCCACACTGTTCTCTTTGAGGTCAAAGGTGCACATCTCAACCAAACACACCCCATTCCAGTTGATGTATGGGCGGGAGGCTGTGTTCCCCTCAGAGGTGCCTGTAGATTATCCTGTAAGTTCCATTCGTTCAATTGTTGGGTTACACAGAGGGGGAAGAAGCTGGACAAGGTCATCAGTAAGTTCAGCTCGTCATGGGCTGTTCCCAGTGCAGCAGGTGGGGGACCATGACTGTCACCCCCTGCAGGACACTCTGCTCTGGAGAGCAGCTTCAGTGAGAGCTATTCATCCTCTATGTGTGAAGAAGAGGTTGCACAGGTCTTTCCTTCCTGCCGCTGTCAGACTGTACTGTGAGAACTGCTGAGCCTGTACATGTCATCTCGTCTGTAAATAAGTAGTAAGTAAATACTGTAACAATCACATTTTCCCACTGTGGGACAAATTATACCTTATTTTATTTAGGAGACAATCATGGCACTTTCTTGACCCACCAATCAAAAACAAGTGGAGGAAAAATCAAGAGGCTTTTGGAGGATTTGAAGAAGGGAAAAATAGCAGATTCACCAGGTAGGGATAGTAATGTCAGTAATATTTGTTACTTTGCATCTAACGTTTTTCCAATGCTTTTAGGACACTGCCAAATGTGACAGCTACACACCAATGGAACTTGAGAGTGAGAAGGCGCTTGACATACAAACAGAACAGGTATGTCTAGTAGTAAATATTACAATTTATTGTATTTTCATTATAAATTAAAACTTTTGTGTTTCCTTAGAGCAATGAGGTAGGAGGGAGTTTTTACATGGAAAAAGTCTTGAAGCGGACTATAGTGTCACTGATTGTCACACGCAAGTCAAAACATTTCTCTTGTAACCAAATTCATTGTTTTCTCAGGGTATGCCCCATTGTACAAAGAAGAGCTAAATGAACAACTGATTGCCTAAAGATGTGCAGAAACCCGTCTCCGAGCACCAGACATCACAGCTGAAGCGTTATTCTTTGTAATAATTAAGAATACAAATCCTGTTAACATTGAAACTTTTTTTTGCAGGCTTTTTTGGGCAGGAATGCACTTGAATGAAAATGTCAAACGTGGGCAAGATTCTTCAAAGGGGCAGTCTTTATTCAAAGTTCCAACCCAAAGTACAACAAAGGAAAGCAAACAGCAAAGCCAACACTTGGTAAAGAAATAATACTGTACAAACATTACAGTACAATAACTTAATAATATATTATTACAGAGGCTGACCAGGACAGAAAGCCAACGCACTGGCCTTCAGGATCTGTGAACTCTTCGCGTATCCTGAGCACATCACATGCAGGAATGACCTGGCTCCCAGTCGTCCCGAGCACCAGCTAACCAACTCCACAAATCTGAGACTCCTGTGGAATTGGACACGTATGTTAATTATTGTAATTTGCTGTTTGCGTAGTGTACTGAAATGTTTTGTCCCTTTGTCTGTTTCATGGTGTGACGACGAGACCATTTGCACCTGCAAATGAATTGATTTCTGAAAATGAAGTCTCCACGCTCTTTCAACATTATCAATATATTTATTTGACAGGGACAATGCAGACACAGTCATAAACAAAGCTTGCAGCTGATGTGATGAATGTAGTTTATAGCAGATGCCAATTCACAACTCCTGTCCCTGGTTGGGCCTAACCAATCAAAGTCAATACAATTCCTACATTTCTAAAAATACACTTAGTTTACAGCCTACAGACTTGATTGATCCACACAAAAAAACTACAAACGTGTTTTCTCTTGTATTTAAAGCTTGACATCAATGCGGGAACTTTACATCCTTCAGCAGGAAAATCTACACAAATTCAATTCAATACCACAGCCCATTTTTTATGCACAACCTAACATAAAACCCATGAAAAAACCTTTGATTGGTTCCAATTTAAATGTTACTCACCAGTGTTGTTAATTTCTTTAATAGAAAGGATGCACCCGATCTTTCATCTGGGAAACTAGTCAAAATTCATCAATCCACGAATGAATTACATTTCAAAGGACAACATGGCCATGGCATGTAATCTCTGTGGTTACTGGTGATAATAATCCTGTGGTTGTTGTCATGGATCAGCTGCAGCAGAGTCTTGACAGTAAAAGTTGCACTATATATCCAAATGGCCATATTTTTTTTTTTGCAACTTCGAATTCATCCCATGAAAATTATTAACTGAACTGACAGAAAAGTGTGCAGTCCACAAGCTGTGCTGCTGCAGGTGATCGCTGCATTAAATTAAATTTATTATTTCCATTATCAACATTCATCCAGTTGTAAGCTGTAGAGTTGCCACAGGACGCCTTCATCAGCCTACGTCAGCTGCCAGGACTGCTATCATAACATAAGCATAGTGGTTTCATAGGTGCAGTTGACTGCTTAAACTAAACTTTACCCGAAAGTTTGACTCTTAAACCCACATGTGCCAACACGGAACCATCAACATCTCGCCTCAAATTGCATTAAAAGTGACATTCGTGTCTTATTTCGTTCGTATTATAACTTTTAAAGGAATTCACGGACTTTCTGTCCGCCATCTTGGTTTGTTTCGGCTGCCGTGAGACGCGCATGCGCGCAGGTTTGCATTACATCATTAACAGCTGAGCATTACATAAGCGTCACTTTTTGGCAGAGCGTTACAACTCGGCAGAACACCGGCACAAAATGAAGATCCTGGTCGTTTGTTCTTCCTCTGATGAAGAACCTGTGGATGTCTCTATTGTTCTCGACAGCAAGGAGATTGTGACTGGATGTGGAAATACTGCAAAGGCATGTGCACTGCTAATGGGTCTAATATATTCCCTCAATCTTGCTTATCCTACAACACTACGATACACCTTCGAAGTATTTCAGAAGATTTTCTTACATTTAGATGCATTTAAGCCATCCCCGAAAATACAAACACTGAAAGTCAAGCTACTGTCCAAAACATAAGAGAAGCAATTTTGTTCAGCATAAGAGAAAAGGCCACAGATTTTATATAATTTGATGTTGTTACTTTAGCTTAGACTCTAGCTTAGACTAGAATATGAAAATTAGTCATTAAAACATGGACATGTTAAATTAATTGACTATTCTTGAATCTAGTAACTCCTCATGTAACAGTGTTTTAATTAGGGAAAATGTGAAAGAGCTCGGCCACTTCTAAAATTACCTCGGTCTGGAGCCATTGAGATTTACTGCGAGAGTCTAATGCTACAACATCCTGGTCTTTAGCTGAACAGAGGCTCAAAGACCAGGCAGGTGCATCATCTCATCTAAGCTAATGACATTTAATTATAGAAAATCAATGGCCTATCTCTATACCATTCCCATTGCATCCTTTTTGTGATAATTAAGTTTTCTGTTGTCATGTGTTCTGCTTTTAAGGTCAGCTTTAGTTCATCTTTTAGTTTTCATTGTTGATGTGTGAACTTAAAAGTTTGTCAATAAAACAGGTTGTTAAATGTTGATATTTGCATATTGTTTTTTCTTATTAATTCAATAATAATGTAATTGTTACACACATATAGTACTTAATAAGTATTATTGCAATGATATGAAATATACTGATAAAATATTAATAACATTTATTCAAGTTATCCATTATTGTAAATGATCTGTACACATAATGGTTACTCAGTATATCTATTTCACACATAAATAACCTAAAAAAAATCACATAAATTGATTGATTATTTTATGTGATCAAGTAAAAAAAAATCACATTTGTTAAGTAAGGTTTACTTACAAATAACATTCAGATTATACTTGATGAAATAAAAAGTTTTACTTGATTTATAGTAGTAATCTTTAATTATATCTTCGTGCAAATACTTA